TTCTCGCTGCTGGACCCCAACGGCGTCGAGATGACGTCGGGCGGTAACCGAACATCAATGAGCGCCATCCATTATGCCATGAGCGCCGATCTCCCACCCGATTCACGTACGCGGCTGCTGCGGGCCTTCGCCGCAAACTCGAACGAAGCCGCCGCCGAAGTGGAGACTTGGACGATGGGGATGGCCGGTCCGGTTTCGGTCGTCACGTTGGGGATCGTCGTCGCATTAAGCACGATCGCGCTCTTCTTGCCGCTAGTACGCCTCATCGAAGGACTCAGCTAGCTGCATGACTGCTACATACTTCCCTACCTTTCGCAAGCTCGCCAACCGCCTCCGTACGGCGCGCTGGCCGTCCTATGCCGGCCCTAAGGGAGGCGACTGGTTCCCCACCTTCGCGCCATGGTTTATGGCGATCTTGGGTCGGGGCGGCGTGACGCCGACGCAGCGACGGGCCCTGTTGCGATTGATTCTAGTCGCGGCTGAAGAACGGCTCGCGCTGGCGCCGCTCGTTGCCGCATGGGCTCAAGAGGAGCCGTCGTCGCAACGCATACGACTCATCAAGCTATCGCAATCGCTCGCCGACGGGCTTCCCATCGCCGACGCCGTCGAGCGGTTCCCGGTTATGTTGAGTGACGAGGAGATTCTGCTGGTCCGCTTCGCCAGCGAGTCTGGCACGCTCGTTTCCTCACTAAAACAGTACCTCGCAACAGAGGTCGACACCGCCGCTCCGGTCCGCAGCAACCTGCGCCGCGCGAAGAACTATCTGCTGATGTTTGTGCTGATCGGGACCCCGCTCGCACTCTGGGTCTACACATTCATCGGCCCTGCGCTGGAGCAGATCGATGACGACTTTGGTGTGGGGGGCTCGGCGTTACGCCCTATCAACGATCTGCAGCACTTCGTGTTCGATTGGATCGTACCGTTTAGCATCGGCGCCATCGCCATCTTGATCGCCAGCCGTTGGATGACGGGACCGTGGCGCCGCCTACGCCGCAGTGTGGCCCCGATGCTGTTCGGATCGGTGCGTCGCTTGCGTACTGCTCACCTGCTGCAACGGCTCAGCGGAAGTTGCGCTGCGGGGAAGCCGCTGGCCGGCGCCCTCTCCACACTTGCTCGCAATCACTACGACCCGGCGTTGCGTCACAAGTTGCTCTACGCCCGCAACGAGCTGGCGCTCGGCGCCGAGCTTTGGCCGAGCTTCCACGCAGCGGGCCTGCTGACCGACAACGAAGCGCGTGCGCTCGGCGCCAGCGAGCGGCTCGACGCCAACGAGTCGTCGGGCGTAACCGCATGGACGCTCGCCACGCTTGCCGAAGCCAAGCAGCGCCACGCCATCCGCAAGCAAACTTGGTTGTCGATGGCGCTGTGGCTCGCGGTGGTGCTGCTGTTCGGCGCCTTCGTGCTCGTCCAGGCGATCGGCATGTTTACGTTCCTCAGCGATATCGTCTACCACAACGCCTAACCCCATGCAGCGGATCCAAGTCAATAACGCCCACCGCGGCGTAACGCTCGTCGAGACGACGATCGCCCTCGGGCTGCTGGTCGCCCTGATGTCGGTCATGGCTTCGCTCGCGGTGCGTAACCAGCGGGTGCTCGCCGACAACCGCGCGTACCGCCTTGCGGTGGATGAGCTGTCGAATCAGCTCGATATGCTCACCGCGTTGCCCGCCGACGAAGCGGCGACAGCGCTCAAGGCGTTGAGCGGCGAAGAACCAGTAGGACCGCTCACCGGCGCCACGCTGCGGGGTGAGATGGCGGACGAAGACAATGGGCGCAGGCTAACCGTGACGCTCTCTTGGCCGGCCGCGATCAAGCGCCGCCCCGATGTCACGCTATCGGCATGGTCATTCATTGAAGACGATTCCACGGAGGACCAGCCATGAAACAACGCCGCGGCTATTCGCTGGTCGAGCTGCTGGTCGTGATGGCGGCCGCCTCGACCGTCCTCACCCTCTCGGCGATGCTCATCCACCGCACGATGCGTCTGGCGTCGCAGACGCGATCGTTCCATGCCGAAGAGGCGACCGCATGGCGGCTCTCCTCTCAGTTGCGTCGCGACGCCGCCGGCGCCGTAGCGATCGACCTTGAGGTGACGGGCGCCGAGTTGACCGTTGCGATTCACGATTCGGAAGCGGAGCCGATCGTCTATCGGTTCCTCGGCACCCAGGTGGAAAGATCGCAACGACTCGAAGGGGATCGTGTAGCGCGCGATGCCTTTGTGCTGTCGAGTGTCGCTGATTGGGTCGCCGATGAGTTCGAAGGCTTTGAGGCGGTACGAATCGAAGCCATGCCGTCGCGGCTGCCGATCCAATCGTTGGCGCCCGTCCCCGTGAGGCTCGTCGTGCGGGCCGGAGGGGAGTCAACGCCATGAGACGTCACCGACAACTACGCCGTAGCGCCGCGGTGCTCGTGGCGGCCCTCGTCTGCTTGCTGATCGCGTTGTCGATCGCCACGACGATGATCGTCGAGTCGATCGCGCGTCGCGGCCAGTTGAAAATCGAACTTCACGCCCGCCAGGCCGAGTTGCTCGTCCAAGCGGGGCGGGGCAGGGCGGTGGTGCGGCTCGCCGCCAGCGCCGACTACGACGGCGAGAGCTGGGCGCCCGAACTCGGCGACGGGCTCAATGCCACCGTTGATATCTCGGTTGAGCCCGACGACGACGGCGCTATCCGCGTCACGGTCGCGACGCAGTATCCCACCGACAGCCCCCAAGCGGTCCGTCGATCGCGAGTCTTCTTGC